GGGGAAGGGACTGGAGCACAAGTGCCATGAGGAGAGGCTGAGGGAGCTGGGGGTGTTCAGCCTGGAGAAGAGGAGGCTCAGGGGAGACCTTAGCACCCTCTGCAACTCCCTGACAGGAGGTTGGAGTCAGGTGGGGGTTGGTCTGTTCTCCCGGGACAAGAGGGCACAGACTCAAGCTCTGCCAGGGGAGGGTTAGGTTGGATATTAGGAAGAGATTTTTTAGGGAGTGCTCAGGCATTGGAATGTGCTGCCCAGGGAGGTGGTGGATTCACCATCCCTGGAGGTTTTCAAGGTGAGACTGGATGTGGCACTTAGTGCCATGGTCTAGTAACCACGGTAGGGTTGGACTTGATGATGTTGGAGGTCTTTTCCAACCTGGTTGATTCTATGATGGTCTCTGTGTGTCCTTGAGGAAAACTGCTGCATTCAAAATATCCCCATTATTAAACAGTTGGGTAACACCTGGAAGCAGCTTGGGTGGAAAATGAGCCTGGTGAGCCTGGAATTGCTGTGGCCCTGCTCCCACACAGGGATGGGATGGGATCCTCACACACCCTGTGTGCACTCCCTGGAAAATCAGCTTCATTAGTTGTTTTCATTGTTAATTATTTCTTTTCGACAGCAAACAAAGCTCAGATCCCAAGAGCCCTGTGGGTGTCAGGTGAGGCCTGGGCTGGGTTTGGGCAGGTGTTTCTGCAGGTGGCAAATAGCTCTGTGGTCATTTGCATTTTTTGGGATATTTTATATCCTAGGCCAGGTTGGATGGGAACTGGAGCAACCTGGGCTAGGGGAAGGTGTCCCTGCCCATGGCAGGGCTTGGACTTAGATGGTGTTTAAGGTCTCTCCAACCTAAACTAGTCCATGGTTCTATAATTTTCCTTATTTTCTCCAAAAGAATTTCTCTCCTTAAATTCTTTGATAGTTTTGGCCTCAGAGCCCTAAACTGGCCAGAACCCTGAATTCCTCACTGATGTCCTCATGCCCTTCCAAGAGGGAGCAAAGTTGGAGGCAGGAAGGGCAGAAATTTGATGTGATTAAAGGCCCAAATGAAACAGTTTGACAGAATCTTAGTTGTGAGGAATAAAAAAGCAGCTGGAAGAGGATTTTGGGCTGTTCCTGGAGGTGTTTGCATGTTCATTCCACTGCTGGTCAGACAGTTTCTTTCCCCTTTTGGTCTTCAAGTGACAACCCAAGAGACATGAGAGGAAGAGGAAGATGGGATTGGAAAGCCACAATCCTTCAGGTGCAGGTGTGGTACCTGCAATTAGTTGCATCAAAGGAAAAATTGCTTTCTCCACAGATGTTATCCTTGTCCTCTAACCAGGGAATGCCTCGTGCTAGTGGCATGTGCTGCTCCTAAAGTTTCCCTTTGGATTTAGCAGTGTGAGAGCTAAAATACTGTTTATTTTGCAATCATTTAAGGCAAAGCAGGAGCATTGCTGGGATGTTGATCTCCTGAGGTTTCCCACAGGATTTATCCCACGGCACCTTCAACCTTGGCATCACTTCCATGAAAACCAGACACCTCTGGGACTGGGTTGCTGTGTCCCTAAGAGGGGTCCTGGTGTCCCTATGGGGATCTTAATGTGTCCAGAAAGTGTCCCAGTGTCCCCAGGAGTGTCCTGGTGCACAGGGGCCTCAAACAGCCTTGTTTCACCCCAAACTGAAGAGGACAAGGAAAAAAATAGGTAGTTTTGTATGTTGCTTGTTATATGGAAGAACTTTGGGGCTTCCAGAGGGGGATAGAAGGGATAGCACCAAAATTGGGCCTAATGTTAAATATTTGGAGGCCTTTTTAAAGGAAGAAGCCAAGGGAATGTCCTGGAGGGTAAATATTATCCTGGGGAAAAGTGGCTATTTGATGTGTTGCTGCTTCTGTTGACCTTCCCAAGGATGCTTGGAGGACTAATGGGAACTGCTTCAGTCTGGATCTGGTCCTGTTCTGGTCTAAACTGGGGCAAAACCAGGGAGTTTCTAGCACAGGAGGGTTGGCTTTCAGCAGGGCTGTGTGGCAAACGGCAGGATAGGGAAAAATAATCCACCTGTCATTGTAACCGAAGATCCAACAGCATGGAATGGTGTCTCCCTGTGAACAGGACACAGGAAAGAGCAAAAAGGTGTTTGTTGCTGTGATTTCCTTGGGGGGGAAAAAAAAGGTAAGACTATTTTGGGGGCATCATGGGGAAAGGGAGAGGAAAAGCTGCTTTGCTGCTGTGCTTTCCCAAGTTGTATAAATCCCTGGAGTTGTGTAAGTCCCACAACAGGCTCATGCAGGGACTGATTTGGGGTTTTCCAAACTCTGTAAAGACCAAAATCCCTGGAAGGAAACAGCTCAGCTGAGCCCTGGAGGCAGCAGAATCCAGGGAGAGGGTTCAGGGGGCAGGATTGGTGCTGAGCACCCAGTGCTGCTCCTACTGTTGGCACTGTCTGCAGCTCTGCTCCTTGGAAAAAAGGAATTCCCAGATCTGATAAAATCGTGGAGGTTGGGAAAACCCTCTGAGACCAAGCCTAACTGCTAACCCAGCACAGCTGTGTTCACCACTCCTGGGAAGTGCAGGATGGATGGGGCAGGGGGAGGATGAGGATGCAGGACAGCAGGGACACAGAGCAGCAAACCTTCAGTGCTGAGACTCTGATCCAGGAGGAATTGCTTGGCAGGAGAAAGCAGGACATGGGGAAAAGCAGAGTCCTCATGCTCCGTGCAGGAAAGCAGCAAAAAGCATCCTCGGAGGGAGCAGCCAACTGGGGAAAGGGTGTGTGTGGCCAGGCTGATCCTTGCTCTCCTCTTCTCCCACCAGCGAAGGCTCAGGATGGGATTTGCCTGCTCCCTCCATCCTAGATATTCCCTCTGTGTGTTCCCCCTTCCCACTCCAGCGCCTCTAAAGGCAGCAGCACCCTCTCCTGGAGAGGGAAAGCCTGGGAAGAGCCTTAGGATTGGGTCTCTGAAGGAAGGTTGGGGGCAGATTTGGGGGTGTCCTGGGCTTGCCATCCCCTCTCCTGTCCTTGGCAGAGCTGGGGATTGGGGCTAGGGGACAGCTTGGGGGTCCTGGAATGCCTTGATGGTCTCGGGTGGAAGTGGATTGAGTTGGGGTTTGGGGATGGGAATGCAAACAGGGCTGGGGAGAAATGGGAGGGCTGGAGGGGTCTGGGTGGGCCAGACCCTTCCCAGCCCCATTCCTTCCTGGGAAGGTGGGATAAGGTAGGATGGGGTGGGATGGGATAGAGTGGGATAGATGGAATGGACAGGATCAAATGGTGTGGGGTGGGATGGGAATTGGGAGACAGAGGGAAGTACCCCAGGGCTGTCACCTGCCCAGGTCCTGGCTGGGTGGTTATGGGGCATAGGCTCAGGTTGGGGTTAAACCCAAGAGGTTTGGGAACAATTCCTGGTGTAGGTGAGCAATGTCCTTAGGGCTGTGCCAAAGAGGGGGATCATGCCCTGCCCCGAGGAGCCCTCAGACATCCCTGGATAGAGCTGAGGGGCTGTGACCCCCCACCCACCCCCAACCCCAGGGTGCTGTCCTGGGGTCCAGCATGGCTGTGGGTGTCCAGAGACACACTCCTGCTTTGGGAAGGCTTTGGTGGAGCTTAGCAGGGGGGAAGCACCTGGCCTGGTGTGACCTTGGTCTGTTCCAGCCTCACGTGTGTTAACGATTGATGACACAGCCAGTCACACTGGGACTCTGCCCGTGTCCCATGGGGTCACCCCCTGCCCCAGCCAGGGATCACTGCCCCAGTCCCATCCTGCCCCTGGGCACACTCTCACACCCCCGGGGGTCCCACTGGGGGATTTCCCTGAGGGTTTGCACCCTGTCCCCATGTCCCTGTGACGTCCTGTCCCATGCCCCCCATGGTGACCCTGTTCTGGGCCAGGCTCTGCTCCTCCTGCACTTTACCCCTCCCAGTGCCTCTCCCAGCACACACAGCTCCCTCCCCACAGTCTGCAGGGGCAGGAGGCTCAGTGGGACACCCACTTCTGGGGGGACCATGCGTGGTACCGTGGTGCTCCCCAGCCCTGCTGAAGCTTTGCCAGGCAGAGCCCAGAGGATGACAGTGGCAGGTACCAGTGTGGGCATCAGGCTGGGGGCAGGGAGGGGGTGGCACTCTGAGCCCCCCCAGGCACCCTAATGTGCTTTTGGGGGGGTCCCTCCTCTGTGATGGATGGGATGGAGATGGAGGGATGTGTTCCTCTCAGCCAGAGCATCCCTGGGGCAGGGGCACATCCCTGCTTGGGGGCAGCACCAGTAGCAGAGCAACCCCAGGAGAAGGTGGCAGCACTGGGACCCACACAGGGACCTGTCTGGGGTCAGGGTGCCATGAAGAGGACACAGAGCAGTGGGCTGAGGAGCTGGAGGGGATGGTGACAGGGTCAGTGCCTGCTTTTGGGGGGGACACACAGAGTGGAGGTGGTTGCAGTTGGGGATGGCCTGGGGGTCCTGACCCCATGTCCCCCACAGCCACCCACGCTGTCAGTGGGAATCCCACACTGCCACCATTCCCAGTGGAGATGGAGACAGCGATTTTCGGTGAGTGACTGGTGCCAGGGCAGGAGGGTCCCACCACCAGGG